CGCCGTGTCCCCGAGTCAGCGGCCGCCGACGCGCGGCCGGGGCGGGGGGAGGGGAGAAGCTGAAGCGGAACTTTTGCACCCTGTTTACTGACTCGCGGTCGCTTCCACTCGCGGGTTACAGCATCCGCGAGCACCTAGCTTGGGACCCTTCCCCTAGGAACGCGGGTGGCCTCGGGCTCCGCGGGGACCCGCCCGTCGGGGCCTGGCTGGGCACGGGGACTTCCCGGGGCAGGTAACTTGGGACGCCGGCTGCAGATTGGGGGCGGGCGTGCCGGGGCCCTAGCGGTCCACCTGCCCGGCTCCCTCGGGCGGCGACCCTAGCTGTGCCGGAGCTCGGGGCGGGGAGGGGACGCAGAGGCGCCGGGCTGCGGCCCGGAGCCGAGCGCTCAAAGTAGCGAGCGACTGGCGCCGGGCTGCCGGGTCCCAAGCCCTCCTCTGCGGCGAAACCGAGCTCTCGCAGCTCGCGCTTGCTGTGGCGGCGCAGACGACCTCTTTCTTCCGGCGTCCAGCAGCCCAGGGCCCCCCGAGAAATGGAGGTCGAGGGGTCAACCCCCTGCGCCGTCTTCCCAGAAGTTGCAGTCTCCTTTGGTGTGTGGGGACTTGCTTTGGTTGCTTCCCTCTCCCGCCCCATCCCCCAGTCAAGCTGTGGTGTACAAAAGAGGTCCCAAAGAAAGCACAGCTTTCGGGGTAGGAGTGTCGCTCTGCTGTGGAGCACCTCTTGGCATGCACGAAGACCTCAATTCCCGGCACCCCTCCCCCAAAACAAAATCTTCCAAAGGTTACAAATCTTAAAAGTTTACAAAACTTGGTACAAAAGGTTGTTAAATGGCTCTATTAGGAGAACTCACCGGCACTGCCATTAACACACACATGCCCACTTTCTGTGCGGGTAGGGCCTTGGGTTGGCCCCGGGTAGACCCTCGGGTTCTAGAGGGTTCTAGATCCTACCAGAAGCCCTCTAGAGGAACCTGGATAGTGGCAGACCAGAGCCTTGCCCTAAGGGAGCCAAAACTCCACCCGCAATTGTCAGGGCCAGGTGAGGAGAGAGGGGTGTGGATTCATTAAGGGAATGGCCCCGGGGTCACTGGTGAGGGAGGGAGCTGGCTGTGAGTCACGCCAGGCAGAGGAGATGGGGAGGGGGAAGACCTCCCCGAGTCACCCTTCCCTCCTGAAAAGCTCAGAATCAATTAGGAGACTGGAACCTTCATGAAGCCTGGTTCTTGAGGCTCCTGAGGGCGCTGGGCTGAAGGCGGCGCCGTTGGTGCCCTCAAGCCCCTGTGCTGCAGCTGACTAGTGGAGTGCCCCTCCTGGAAGGGAAGTCTTATGTCCCTGGTACCCCAGTTACACCTCTCTAGCCCCCCTTTAAAACAGCCCCTGGGGCCAACGCCCAGGAGATAGCTCGGTGACCTAATGCACCAGGTCTCAGTTCAACTGTGTGTACCGAGGAGAGAAATAACCAAAAAGCCACTACCATGCACTGGTTTAACAGTTGCTCTTTTGTTTCCATGGTATGAGATCTGAGCTTCTTCCTCAGTAAACACTCATGAACCCAGGGCAAGGACAGGGTCTCCCAAGCATGCTTTGCAAAGTGTTGGCCCAGAAGAGTGCTCAGTTCATGTGACTTCGCGATGCACTGCGTGTCCTGGCCCATCCTTGTCCCAGACAGCACCTGTTGTCCGAGAGCTTGGAGTGCCTCCTGACTGCTTGTGCCCCTGCGTCCGTGCAGTCTGTAGTCGTCTGTCTGACCATCCCAGTGACATTTATGAACTGCGATTCAGATCTTGTGACTTCTTACACCTGCCAGATGCTTGCCCCCCACAGTCGGAATACGCCCCAAGTTCCCAACTGAAGCTGCAAGCTCCTGTGAGAGGACCCTGCTTTCTCTCAGAATGGGGCCAGGCTGGCCTTCTTTCTTCCTGACAGCAAAAGTCCTGTTCTCCCAGCTCTCCCTGACAATCCTTATCCTTTCATCATTCAGTCTCAAGCCCTAAGATGATCTCAAAGAGAAAATTTGTGATCCCCTTAAGCAAAACAGATCACTCTCTACCTCCTGCCTATGGCAGAAGTTATCTTGTTTGTGTAGTTGTCAGCTGCTGTGTGCTCCAGTCCAGTTAGAGTACAAGCTCCCTGAGGACACAGGCCTTCTATAATTTCCACAGCGCCTAGGCCAGGGCCTGACACACAGATACTTAGCAAGTACTCATTGAGTAAGTGACCTGGCTGTTAGCAAGAGAAAAGGGTGGCGATGAAAGGGGATTCTGAAGCCTGAAAAGAAACTTCTCTTCAGACCGCTCTGCCCTGTGCGGCTTGATGAGGTCAGCAGATAGGAATGGGGTTAGAAGAGAAAAGGCTGCAGTTAACTTGGCTCCACTCAAGTTCTGCTGCAAGGAACACACGTAGCCCCAGCTCATTTCCTCTTCCATCCCTATTCTCCAGGATGACGCCTTGGCTACTTAAACAGGTCCAGGTGCAGCCCTTGGGGATTTCTTCTTCAGTTATACCCCGCAGTCATCTCTTCCGGGGGTTCGAATTCCATCCTCCCCAGAGAGACACCCAAAACTCCACCTCTATTCCAGGTATTTCTCCTGAGCTTCAAAGATTCTTGAGCACCAGCCTCTTGGCCTCTCCAGTTGGTCTCTCAGGCACCTCACCTGCAGCACAGACAGTTGGTTGGGACAGAGACTTGACAATGAGTCTGCCTTAGGAAAATTGGGACCCCGGGGAGAGGCTCCCTAAGGGGCTGAGGGAAGCTGGGGGAGGGGCGTTTCCTCGGGTCAGAGGCCTTATTGTGGACTGCAACCACAGTGTCTCAAAGGAAAGGGCCTGGCTAAACTGAGGTAGGCCCTGGAGAACTGGGAAATGCCCCCCTCCTGACATCAGAAGTCTAGCCCAGAGCGGCTTCATCCTCTCTTTTTCACACCCCCACCAAAATAGCCCAAAAAAGTGCATAGGAACCCCTGAACTTGGGCAACTCCTCGACCTGATTCCTGGAGTCAGACTTTGTCCTTTTCGGGACAAGGTCAAGAGCCCAGAGGAAGGAGAGAACTGTTACACAGAACTAAACTCGCGTCTCCCTCTAAACATGTCCTGCCTTGTGATGTTCCCTGGCTCCATCGCCGCTTTTCCATCCTTAAAATCGGTCAGACTGCAATCCCTCCTTGTTTCTCTCAGACTCTACCTGGAATCTCTGTAAACCTCCTCTTCAGAGTGTATCCAAGAGCTGACTGCTTCCTAGCTGCTCTGTCACCACTGTTCAGGCCCATCCCAGTCGGTGTCTCCTCAGTCTCTTCTCTTGGCTGCCACACTGGTCTTGCTAAAAACCGAACAGACTCTTATCCACCTCTGCGCCCAGCCCTGATTCCCACCATGTTGGTCAGAGGAGAAGCTGGAGTCCTGTACTGTGTGCCTCTTCTCATCCCTCTTACCTCATCTCTTTATTGGTACCTACATCAATAAAGATTTAGGGGCTGGTGAGATGGCTCAGTGGTCTAAAGCACCTACTTAGAACAAGCTTAGCAAATCAGAGGGACCGCGGTTCAATCCCCCAGCACCACATGCCAGCCAGCCCCGCCCCCTGGTGGGCTGAGCTGGCCACACACACACACACACACACACACACAAATAAATAAATAAAATTTAAAAAATAAATAAATAAAAATAAAAAAATAAAGATTTAGCTGCTTCAGCCTTAATGTCCCGTGTATTAGGATCCACACAACCCACATCTTTGTAGGATCCACACAACCCACATCTTTGTAGGATCCACACAACCCACATCTTTGCCTTCCTCAAGCCTTTGCTCATTCAGTGGGTCCTACGCTCACCATTCTACGTAAAATTATTATATTCCGACCAGACACTGTAGAACATCCCTGTCATCCCAATTACTAGGGAGGCTGAGGCAGGAGGATCTTTAAGTTCAAGGCCAGCTTGGCACCTTAATGAGACTGTCTCAAAGTTTTAAAATGTAGCTGAGGAACAAGTACAGTATGTGCCTGGGAAGGACTGGGACCCATCCTTAGTACCACCAAAAAAAAAGGCGGAATAAAGTATAAAGAGATAAAAATAATAGAGAACACAAAAGTGAAGAGA